CATAAGTGCTTAGCACCATATAAGGAAATTTATAAAGATCTTTTAACTAGAAGCAAGCAATCTAAAATTACATACACTTTTTGCAAAAGGTAAAGCATGAATCTGAAAATAATGCAGAAAAATGCTCAGAGGATAACGATAACTTGTAAAAAATAAAACGCTCTCAGTTAATAGTGCTTTTAGTGATGACAAAGAAAACATTGTTTAATTTATAATAATATGTATCACTTAAGAAAATTTTAATAAAGATATTTATCTTAATTATGAAAATATACTAGCATGTTTTTTAATTTTTGGAACCTAACCCTCTTTTTCGTACTAGTTCTTTGTTTCGCATAACACGGATTCACATAACACGGCAATTTTTTGGAACGTAACTACCGTGTTATACGGGGGTTACCTGTAATTATGATATAAGTTGTGACCAAAGGGTTCGGCACCTCTTCGATGCCTCGTTAGGATGATACCACTGCATCTCGGTTGACAAGGAAGCCGTTCTAACTAGGTCACGCGAGCAGTTGCATAACGGAGCGATCAGATTTGGGATGGAGGGAGAGACAGCGCATCAGAAGTGACTTATGCAGAGACAGGTTAATGTAACAATCGTTTAATAGGTAACAAAGGGGTAATACAGGACATACAATATATTGAGTGGAATATGATCGATTTAAATACATTGGTTGTGATTGATATTATATATTTTAGACGGAGTTAACTTAAAGTCCGTGGGTCTTGAGAGAGAGAGTTTACAGTAGTTACGCATGGTGATAAATACCTGGTAAAATATGTGGTTGATAGGTTGATAGATGACGATGCTACTTGACGATTTTAATCCCAACAAGGCATTTAATAAGTTCGTTGACAATGAAGGTAATCCAAGACAGAATGTTCAATGTAATCCACCACTTACGCACTCAATAAGTTTGGTTTTTGCAGATGTGATGACTTTGGATTTTAGATGTAATGAAGATTTTAGCTAGAGGGCTGGGTGATGACTATCTCTCTCCGAGGAACGGCGGCGACTCCCCAAACTTTGTTGTTCTGTTCTATATTTTGAAGTGTTGAAATCGAGATATAAGATCAAGAGGTGATGAGAAAGCATCGTTGTCAGACATGAGAACTTAACAGATGTTTTGCTCCCAGGTGTAAAAGTTGACAGTTATTTAACGAAAGTATAGCTACAATGTGATGTTAGGAGATAATGATATAAATATACTGAAAGTCTGGTTTCGGATCCTTACAAAGTCAATTTGTGTCAAAATCTGTATTATTATTATGTTGGGTTTAGTGGGTTACTCGGTTCACACCGGTGGCTGTATACTATGCCGGACCAGAGTCAAGGCATAGCAACCAAAAACTAAAATTAAATAAGTGTGTCAGTGTCTGTATTCAGGAATTTCCTAACAATATGGCATGTATTCAATATAGTGGCCTTCTGTAGTGTGATGTATGTATTTCTACTCAATTGTAATGTTCCCAGGTTTTTGTGTGGTATCACACCTGTACAGGAGAGAATGACAGGTATGATAAGCACCCTATCCATCCACAGATGCCTTATTTCCTGGGCGAGTTCTGTGTACTTGCTAATTTTTTCACTGCATGTGTTTCGTACATTGTGAGTGTTTGGAATGGCTATGTCTATAATGTATGTGATTTTATTGTGTTTATCAATGAGTGTGATGTCTGGTCTGTTGTGGTAAATTGTTTTATCTGTGATTATGGTTCTGTCGTAGTACATTTTGTACGTGTTGTTTTCCAATACTGTCTGTGGAATATACTTGTAGTATGGTTCGTGAATGTCTACCAATTTGTGTTTCTTTGCAAGCTCTTGGTGTATTATATTTGCTACTTGATTGTGTCTATGTAAGTAATCTGTCTGTGCCAAGAGCTTGCAACCAGAAGTGATGTGTTGTATAGTTTCTGGCATGATGTGACATTTTCTGCATGTATCATTTGTGAATGTTGTATCTTTGAGTGTGTGTTTTTTGTAGTTTTTAGTGTTTATGACCTGATCCTGTATGGCAATCATGAATCCTTCTGTCTCCCCAAATAGGCATCTCTGATCTAACCAGCTGTTTGATGTAGTTTTGTCAACAAAATTCTGGGCCAGGTCATAAGGATGTCTGCCATGGAGTGCCTTTCGAACCCACGATTGCTTGATGGTGTCTATGCTTTTTATATGTTGTGTCATGTCCATATGTTCTGAGTGTAAGTTTAATGGTGTGTTATTTGAGTCTGCTAGAGTTACTGCTTTATGTAACTGTGATGTTTCTTGTTTCTTGTAGAAAAACTCTCGCAGTGACTGTATTTGTTTGTAGTGAAGGTTAACTATGTCAATCAGGCCACGTCCGCCTTCTTTACGTGGAAGGGTTAATCTTTCTGTGGCGGATTTAGGATGATGTTGTTTATGCTTAGTAAGTGTTGTTCTTGTTTTCCTTTGGAGTTGCTCGAGATCTGTGTGAGTCCAATGTATAACTCCAAAAGAGTATGTGAGTACTGGGATGACATATGTGTTTATTGCTTTAACTGTGTGTTTTGCATTTAACTGTGTTCTAAGTATAGCGTTTAACCTACTTTGGTATTCTTTAATTAATCGTTGCTTTATTTGTGTATGTTCTGTTAGTTTGGCCTGTTGGAATCCTAAGTACTTGTAGAACTCGCCCTCTTCCATGGATTCAATAACGTCTCCATTTCCAAGTGCAAAATCTTCTTTCTTCAGGATTCCTTTTTCTATGTGAAGTTTTTTGCATTTGTCTAGGCCAAACTCCATTTGTATGTCCTTAGTGTATGAATGTGTGATTTGTAGGAGTTGATGAAGTTGTTTTTGTGTGGATGCATAAAGTTTTATGTCGTCCATGTACATGAGATGTGAGAGTGTAAACTGTGTTGTTTTTTCGTGTCTGATATTGTAGCCGTATTGCGTGTTGTTTAACATGTTGGATAATGGATTCAGGGCTAGGCAGAACCAGAGAGGACTCAAGGAATCTCCTTGAAAAATTCCTCGCCTAATGAATATTTCGTTTGTTTGTATGGAAGTGTTACTAACCCTGAGATGTAGTGTTGTTCTCCAGTGCTGCATAGTGTTTTCGAAGAATGCAATGAGTGATGGATGTATTTTGTACATGTGTAGAATATGTAGCAGCCAACTGTGTGGAACACTGTCGAATGCTTTTCTGTAGTCTATATATGCCATGTGTATGTTTCTGTGTTGTTTGTGTGCTTGCCGTAGAATGACTGAATCTATGAGTAACTGTTCTTTGCATCCCCTGTGATTTCTACGGCAACCTTTTTGTTGTTCTGTAAGAATGTCGTGTTCTTCAACATGTTTGTATATTTTGTTTGTGATACAGGATGTCAATAATTTGTAGAGTGTTGGAAGACATGTAATTGGTCTGTATTGTGTGGGGTCTGTGGTTTTGTTGTTTTTAGGTTTCATGTAGGTAATGCCCCGAGTAAGAAATTTTGGCATGTCTTGTGGATTGATGATGATGTGTGTTAGATGTTTAGCTAGTTCCTGGTGCAGTGATGTAAACTTTTTGTACCAGAAATTGTGAATGTTGTCTACACCAGGTGTCTTCCAGTTGTGTGTTCTGTTAACAGCGTAGCGAATGTCGTGTATGTTTATTTCAGCACAGGGCATACTTGGTATGTTATGCAAGTTTCTGTTCTCCTCCTTGATCCAGCCTGCATCAGCATTGTGTGTAACAGCATTGGACCAAAGAGAAGACCAATAAGTTGTGAGTTCTTCTTCTGTTGGTGTGCCACTGTGCTGTGTATCAGTGTTTGTTTTGGTACTGATTTGTCTGTAGAAAAGTTTTTCATTGTTTGTGAATAATTTATTTTGTTGTTTTCGTAGTGTACATGTTTTGTATCATTTGAGTCTACGTCCTTTGGCTGCGAGTTTTTGTTTTAGTGTATTGATGTATTCTGTAATGTGTGTGTTGTGATGTTCATGTTTTATGTGTGTTTTGTATTTCTTGAAATGTTTTTGAGTTGTTTCTTTAATTAATTTTGGGTGTTATGTTGTTTTTAGTGTATTCTGTCAGCCTGCCTAATTGCTGTCTCATGTCATTTATTTGTGTCTCTATTCTTCTCTGCCAAGCAGGCTTGTGATAGAATTGTGTTTTGTGTGTGTCTGTCTGTGATTGTATTTTTCAGTCCATGGTGTCACTACTGTGACTGCCCCAGCATAAACTAATGTATGAATGTCTGAGAGTGTAGAAATTAAATGAATGTAGTGTGGTAGTAAGTTGAGTGTTTACTTAATTTAGTGTTTTTCCTACTACCTTTGACGTGTTGATTTTTGGTATTCGTGGTCTTTGTGTGGGATCTGTACCAGTATATTTAGTGAGTGTTTCCTGAAATATAAGTGAGAGTGTATTAACTATTTCTATGTCTACGTTATCAGTGATGGATGAGGAAGTACCTGTAGTATTAGTTGTTGTTGTTGTATGTGTGCTATTATCAGTGCTTGTTGCTGGATTATCCTGAGAGGTTACGTGATTTTCACTAATAATGTTACATGTTTCTGTCTGTTGATTTATTTGCTCAGCAACCTCTTGTTTGATAAGTTCAAGTGTTGTTTGTGGGATAAGGTTGTTGTGTATAATTTTTCTTTTTTGATCGACAACCGTTTGTTCGGTGACAGTGAGGTGAGGATATTGTTGTGTGAATCTATGATGTAGTTGTTGTCTGTATGCTGTCATGTTTGTTTCAAGTCTTGTGATGTTGTAGTAAGTACGGATGAGAAACTCGTTCATTTCTGTTGTCCATTTCATCCATTGGCGTGGTTTTCCAGCCTTTGTGGTCTGTGGATGCATTGCCACAGAAACACCAAGGCTAGGTTGATTCCTCACATCTGTTGAGGGCATTGCAGTAGCCATGCTTGGGCTGGCACTGCTTTTGCCACCGGTAACCAAGGGAGACTGTGGCCTATTTTTCGAACGTGAGCCTCTGCCTAACCCATGAACGCAGACCTTGTTAATCTGGGTGACGTCTGAGCCGGTATCACGCTTTGATCTGGTTATACTACCATGATAAATATCTCCATAGAATGTGGGTGTGGTCACTCTTAGCTTCATTTCTCCCCATAGACGTTACTGGCATAGGTGTCCCTACCAGGAGCTTGTGCTGCAGCCTGCATTGCTCTATGGTTCAGTAAAATTACTGGGCTCTCCCACCACGACCAGGGTGGTGACCACGGGAGAGTTATTATTATTATTATTATTGTTGTTGTTGTTGTAATAGTGTTGTAAAAAATATCTATCTAAAATGATAAATATAACAAAATTAATATTATAATTTCATAACAAATTTAAAAATTTAGCTTTTAAATGTTGAATTTTTGTAATTAGGGTGTCTGCTGTATAGATGAGTTTGATAAAATGGATCCACGTGATCAAGTTGCAATTCATGAAGCAATGGAACAACAAACAATATCTATTACTAAAGCTGGTGTTAAGGTAATAAAATTACATACTTCTTATTTTAGTATAAGAGATTTAGAAATATAAATATTCCAAATAACAGAATTGTCTGAAATTTATAAAAGGTATATTTAGTATTAAATGTTTTTACACAAGAATAAAAATACATTTTGTAAAAATATATTGTGTGTTTATTCTTATATAACATTATTTATTAGTGATATACAAATGATGTTTACTTGTAATTTTGTAGATGGTATTAACAATGATTTGAAGCATTATGTATTCTTTTCAAAATTATGCAGTATTCTTTACTCTCAATATCTCAAAGAAGTGAGGTGAGAGTAATGAATAAAAAAACTGGTTATTGTTTGCTACTGCACCTAATCCAGTGTTTTTCAACCTTTTTCATTGAGTGGCACACCTAATTGAAAAATAACAAATCGTGACACCCTTGACCAGCGGCGGATCTAGAATCTGAATAAAGGGGGGACTAATGGGCCAGATGAATTTTTTGCGAATATTACGCGCAATGCAAAAGTGTTTCTACGTGTTCAAAATCAAAATTTAAGTCCATTGAATTTTGTCGAAATACCTACATGTAAAATAATAGTCTCGCTATTGTTTTTTAAATATAGTTTTATTATCAAATATATCATCATTTTATATTATCATTTTATTGATAAACAATTTTTGTTACGTTTTTTTTATACTATTTTGATGCATATATAAAATAAATATTTCATTATTTTTTTCTTATCTTTTTCATATCAATTTAAAAAATTTAAATTAAAAAAATGATAAAAAATTGTTTATTTGTCGTCATTGCTTTTGAATACTATGAAAATACTGTAATATACACCTACTTTGTGATTGAAACCACACGCTTTTCAAAGTACAGTACAATGCAACGCTTTTTAAAGCATATACAAGACACAAGTGTCCACATCATTTTTCTCTGGTGGTTGGCCTGGTACTGGGACTGGGAACATGAAGGCCAAGCAATGTGGTTTGGGCGAACTTGTGACAAGTCGTGCATACACGTAGTGTAGAACATTACATTAACATGCGATTAGTCATAGTTTCTTTGTTTACTAGATATCTCATAGCAAAATAGAACTGACAATGAGTTATCTTGAACTACACTTTAGGCATTTTCTTGAAAATTTACTTAAGGCTCTAAACTTTGCGATACCCCAATCGTGGCGCCGTGGCACCCCGGTTGAAAAACACTGACCTAATCTGTAGTGTCTGGATTTTTAGGTGCTGCACCCACTCAGTTTTTGAAGGGGGCAGAGTATAAAAAGACAAAGTACGTCAGTTTTAGTGCAGTAGGCCCACTCATTGCCAAATTGTTTAGCATCCAAACTATATATTTTGCACCCAGCTTTTCCCCTTTTTACATTTTTTTTTTTTTTTTATTCATTCAGTTGAGAAGAAGAAAACAAATTTGTTGAACCAGACAACATATGCTGAGGAAAAAAATATGATAATTAGCTTACTCTCTTGTTTTGTTGAGAGAAAAAGGGGGAAAGGCGTTTTCTGGACTAAACAACTAAACCTTGGGATTGTTCTAAGTATGTAAACAGATTCACTGAAAATCTGCAACACATGTTTTCTTTTCTAAGAAAAGAACAATTTAGAAAATTCTGTATTGACGTCACCTTACCCTGACTTGTGAGTGCAACAGTTCCAATTTTCTTTGTTTGGTGTCAGCAACATTAGAAAATGGCGAAATTGTCCACATCTAAACTGAACATTTTAGCAAATAATTGTAAAGATGAAAGTGTATGCACAGTCAGAAAAGTTCTTTGCTGTTCAATTTGCTATTATGTGATTTTGGTTGATATGAAACACCAAGAAATGAAATTCATGTAACACATGAGTTCGGAAAAGCATAGAGAAGACACACAGAAAAGGAAGAGTTTCAAGCAGACATTTATAGGGGCCACATTTCAAAGAGGATAAGAATCTCAAAATTTTACATTTTATGCAGATTTAACGACTGCTCTTCTCAAATATACCCTTTTATAAGGTAAACAATCCAGCCATTAAGTCACTTCTTCAGAAATAAAAACTATGTGAAACTAGTTTATGATCAAACCACATTTAAAATCCTGGATGTTGTCAGAGACAATCCTGTAGTGTTCATACTGGACGAAACAACAGATTTCACAAAACAGTACATGCTGAATATTCTTGTTGCACCTCTGACTGGATGCTGTGTACAACCAATGTTGTTCAAAATGTACCATCTTGTACAGTATCCCAAGCTTTCAATAATGCTTGCGTCAAGTTGTGGCCAAATCATGTCCAGTATGAAAAGGTTTGGGTTGTCATTATAGATCAAGCATTTTACATGTCGGCATTCTCAAATTTGAAGTGCATCTACAACAAAGTATGTGACTTGTCTTGCCCATGACCTACACAGATTATGTGAATGTATTCATATATTCGTATAGAATGTAGCAAGACCAATGACTTCATTTCGAAAATGAAAATGGTTCTTCTCAAGTGTCCCTAGTTTGGAGTGCTTGTACCAAGACGTAATTGGGCTGCCATTACCACCCACTCCAGTGGTCACTTATTGGGGGTCTTGGATAAATAGTGTGGTATTCTACTGCAAGAACTTCAAGAAAATCAATGTGTTTATCAATGAACTTCCTTCTGGCAATTTTCTGGCTGTCGACAGTGTCAAGAAACTGGCTGCTGATCCAGTAGTGACCACAGAGCTCTACTCCATGCATTCATACTAGTTATTGGTGGATAAAATCAACAAGCTGGAAAGACGTGGAACTGATATGTGTGATCAGTGGAATGCTGTAAGTCAGGCACTTGACGTAGATGGTTTTGTCCTGGACAAACTCAGATCTAGTTTATCAAAAAATCCTGATTTGCAAAATATTTTGGATTGCACTGAACTAGAATTCTGAGTAAAAATGAAACATGCCCCCTTAGTCTCGGTTGACGTAGAAAGATCTTTTTCCTTATATAAAGACATTCTGTTCTCCAAATGAGAAACTTTACTTTTAAGAACATTGAAATGGTTACTGTTATGAATTACAATGCTCATCTTTATGTGTAAATTGCAATAAACAACTATGTAGTTTGTAAATATAATACTTCTTGTTGGTTTTTGTCTTAATAATACATAATTTAAAAACACCTAAACGAGCACCCAATTCATTCTAAAAATGTACTAAAAAATCCAGACATTATTAATCTGTGAACAACAGTTGTATTTAATTATATAATTTAACACTTAAAAAATATTTTTTGTTTTATATTTTTTTAAAATTATTAATTAATTAGGCAAAGTTTCATAATGAAATATATATTTTAAACTGAACAATAAGTGTCTGCCTTTTGTATTTTACAGTGTCTACTGTAAACTGAAATCAAATGCAATTGTATGTGAAAAGTTGTTTGTATTAGATTTACCTTAATTTCTTATCAATAAGTAATTCATAAGATAATGATTCCATTTCCTTTAAAATCTGTTTCATAAATTTTAATTTTACATATACAAATTAGTTGGTTGTTAGATTAAATCAGTGATTCTCAACCACTGTGCCACAGCACTTTAGTGTGCTGCCACTGTGAAAACCCATACATAAGCAATGTCAGACAAGTAGTTCAATCGGTTCTACTTTCCTGTGGCGCATTTGGAAATTGTAACCAGTGTTACCGGTAACTGCTCGTAGTTACTAAGGCATTTAGAAAATGTTACCTAAATAACCAACTGTGTTTAAAAATCACTGTTATGATGTAACTGGTTGTCCTGCAGTACTTAATGAAGTAACCATTTGTGCTGCCAAATTTTTAAATTATTAAAAGTGTACTGTGACAGAAGTAAAGGTTGAGAATCCCTGGATTAAATGATGATGTGATTAATAAAATTTGTTTGCTTATATTTTATTTACTGTTTGATATAAAGAGTCTTTAAAATTGATTGTTGTTAATTAAACATTTTAATGATGATTTTAATATACAAAAGATAACATTTAATCTGTACTAAATTATGAAATGTATAGCTCTTCTGTAAAACTTTGATTCGTAGAAAATTCACACTGATGATTTTGAGAAGCTAATATTCTCCTTGCTTCATTAATAAATGATTTTACTACAAACTTAAGTAATTAATTAATATTGAATAATGTTTTATCCAGATCAAAAATAAGAGAGATTTACTGAAGTAATACTCATCCTCAGGATGTTTAACTAGAGAAACAACAATTTAGAAAAAATTAAAAAATTCAAAATAGAGAAAATTATTGTAAGGTTATAAGAACTGCATGAAGACAAACAGAAAAATGTTACTAGTATATATCTTCATTGTTTGTTTTCATTTGTCCTGGGGAAAATGTGATAGGCCTTTTAAATTTATTTTATTTAATTTTAAAATTTTATTCACTCTCTAGTTAGATTTCTCAACGTGAAAACATTTGAATAAATGTTTTTATCCTTTCTTTTTACCTCAGATAAAGCATTTAGGTTGAACTGTATAATTGAAAGAGCTTTCAAAAAAAGAATCAATACTAAATAGATAATATAACAATATGAACCTTTCATTTCAATTGAAAAAATATTCTTTGAATGTTACTTATAATCCATAATTGTATTTTTGTAATAGAAAATTCATCATAAATTTTACACAAAGTAGGTTGTTAATAATTTCACAAATTGAATTTGTAAAAGGAAAAACTATATGGAATAAAGTTCTAATTAAAAAAAGAACTATTCAAGGCAGTTTTTCCTTTCAAAAGTCTCATTTATTGATTTCTTGACATAACAAAGTTCAAAAACTAAAATAAGAATAGCTGAGTGATATAGGAATTCGAGACTGAATAAGGTATAAACTGTATCGTCATTCAGATGACTTAGGAGAATTAGTTTTTGTACAATGTTATTTTTACCTGTAATTTAAAAAACTAAAATACATATAAGCAATTATGCTAAACTTGTTTTTAGTTATTTGTTTAATAAAAAAGTAATAATAATTGTGGTTTTTAATAATTAATATTATATTTCATTATATTTGATTTCCAAATAAATGTTCAATCATTTATTCCATTTCTATGCTTGATAGGCAAGCTTAAATGCAAGAACATCCATCTTAGCTGCAGCTAATCCAATTGGAGGACGATATGATCGAACTAAGTCACTTAAGCAAAATATATCATTAAATGCGCCAATTATGTCTCGTTTTGATTTATTTTTCATCTTAATTGATGAATGTAATGAGGTAATAAAAATTATTTATTATTGAAATAAAAAGCTTTTCAAATATTTTTAGAATTTAAAATATTTAAGAAGTTTTAATTCTGAATATTGTGTTTTAATTATGTATAATCTATATATTGTATAATGCAATGCTTTTATTTTTATAATTTTTTTTCCTCTGTTCAATACTAAGTAACAAAATTTAGGCATTTTTTTCTGTTGTCAGATAACATTCTTTTTTTAGATGTGTAGCATTAAATTAATTTTAAATATTTATATTAGGTCTACCAAAAAGTTCTGTCCGTTTTTAAAATAAAACAAAATGATAAATTTTTCATACCTTGAATAAACTTTATTGAATAATATAATTTCTATCATTATTTATGACTTCTTGCCAGTGCGATGGCAATTTATATATACCATTTTTAAAAAATTCTTTATCTCTAGAGGCAAAAAATTGAACCATTGCTTGTCTGATATCTTCTTCGTTTTTGAATTTTTTGTTCTGCAAAAAATTTTGTAAAAACAGAAACAAGTGATAATTGAAGGGTGCTAGGTCCGGGGAGTATGGTGGATGTGACAGAATTTTCCAGCCTAGCTCTGCGAGTTTTTGACGAGTTCCCAAAGAGAGTATATGGTGGGACATTCGAGGACCAATACATTTTGAGCTGTTAAAACCAAACGAAAAGCTAAATTCAGAGAGCTACTGTCAGCAATTAGATAATTTAAAAGCAGCACTCCAAGAAAAGAGACCAGCAATGTTCAATAGACATCATACATGTGTGACATCATACTGCTTTATGATAATGCCAGGCCACATACGGCTTTGGGGACTCGTCGGAAACTTGCAGAGCTAGGCTGGGAAATTTTGTCACATCCACCATACTCCCCGGACCTAGCACCCTCCGTTTATCACTTGCTTCTGTCCTTACAAAATTTTTTGCAGAACAAAAAATTCAAAAACGAAGAAGATATCAGACAAGCATTGGTTCAATTTTTTGCTTCTAGAGATAAGGAATTTTTTAAAAATGGTATATATAAATTGCCATCGCACTGGCAAGAAGTCATAAATAATGATAGAAATTATATTATTCAATAAAGTTTATTCAAGGTATGAAAAATTTATTATTTTGTTTTATTTTAAAAACGGACAGAACTTTTTGGTAGACCTAATACAATACAGGCATACCTCGACTTACGTCGTTTCGAGTTACGTCGTTCCCGATTATACGTCGCTTGTTAAAAAAGTATATGGAAAAATAAAAATCAAGTTTAAGTCATTTTATTCGACTTTACGTCTGTCCGCCACAAATATTGAAGTCGTAATATCACTAGAAAAACGTTTAAAGCACATAAAATCATATTAAAATATATACAAGTATGTACTGTATTTACAGTACATGCATTCGTAAATTTAGATTATTTTTTTGTACTATATTAAAAACTAAAATTTATTTGTTTGTAAGCTTAAAATAGATTTTTATTAACCATATATTATTAAAAATGCATTAATAAATAAAATACAGAACCGGGAATGGTAATTTACGGTTTAGCCTAGTGACAAGTAGATTCGGAGACAAGTAAATTCGACTTACGTCGTTTTCCTGGAACCAATTACCGACGTAAGGCGAGGTATACCTGTATAATGCTGTCAACTTTCTATTATTTTGATATATAATTACTTTTTATTTTATATTATTTTTTTTATTACTATTTTCATTATAATTATTTACTCATTATATTATATTTTATTTTATTTACTAGAAGACATTAATAGGTTCTTTTGTTACCCAAAGGAATAATAAAGGAAACCCATAATGCAGGCACTATTAGTGTTTGTACTATGGTTGGTTAAGTATGTAATTATGTAGTAAACAATAGTATATAATATATAAATGAGATCATCTGTACAAAATTTCTAACTCAGATTTGAATATAGATCTCTGAGTGGTATATTGACACTTTTATCAGTTAAGTCATCTAGCCAATTATATTGAAGAATTTTGTTGGTTAAATATGCTAATATGGAATCATAATGCATTGTATCATATAAAATAACAGATACTATTTTACTAATCGCACAAAGTATCTACATATTTTTAAATTATATATTTCTATTAATGTTAAATGCATTGGCCTTTTTGTGCTCTCTGAGCGGTAAAGGGCCTAAAACGACAAAAAAAAAAAATGTTAAATGCATACATTTATTTGCATCTGTAAATTCAATTATTTCTGAATATGTAAAAAGAATTTTATGTACTGAACAGATATACCGAAAATTTAAGATTATTCTAAATACAGGGTTCCTATGCACCTGGAAAGTCAGGGAAAGTCAGGGATTTTCATTATTTTTTGAAAAAGTCAGGGAATTTGTCAAAAATTGTCAAAAAGTCAGGGAATTTGTCGANAACGAAATTCAAGCAAACTCGTTACGATAAAATTAAATTTACATTTTATCATTTTTATTGAAACTTATTATTATTATAATAATATTATTATTCATTTTTGTCGGGAAAACATTTCAAAGTGTCGTTTCAATTCTATTTATTTATTGGAGTGTTTGTGGATGCACGATATTTTTTGTTTTTCCGTCTGGTGCATACACGAATAAATCAGAAGGTTTTCCAACATGTGAGCTGGCCACATACAGTTGTACATGCGAGAAGCACAGATTCTTTAAATTTAGCCCACATACTTGCAGAGATTGTTAGAAGTGCGATATTCCCCATTTTTATATATTTTTTAAAATCCTTTATAACTTTGATTATTTAATTGCTCCTTCCTCTCTTCCTTGGCGTGTTGTAAAATTTCTGATAATTGGATAATAATTTGTCTTTTTAAATTATTTTGAGTTGATATTAAAATTTGGAAAAGGGGGGATCCCTAGATTGGTAAAATAGGCAAATTTCCTCCTAAACTTCGGTTGTTGTTCGGGATATAGTTAAGGCAGTGTTTCTCAACAGGGGCGATATCGCCCCCAAGTGGGCATTTTTCCATGTTGAGAAGTGATTAGTAAGAATTTATAATTTCGGGGGCGAAAAACAATTTTCTGGACGATACAGTAAAACATTGTATTAAGAATAATTAGATATTTTATTCATTATATCGTACAATAATTAAACAAATAACATTATACTAGTCACTAGTCTATTCAATACAGTACGAATTTGGCGTTAGCCTTGGCCCCCATCGGCATCGGAATTTTGAAGTGAAGGGGACGACGATTCGTTAGAGGTTGAGAAACGCTGAGTTAAGGTTTTAACAAAGTTCGAGCGAATATATAATTAGAAAAAAAAAAATGTTGAAATAAAGTGATTAAACAAAAATTATTACAAATATCATAAATAACAAATGCATATATAGAGATATTTTTTGGAGGGGGAAATGGTCTTCACAATTTGAAATCGATCGAACACACAGAACACACAGTGCTCGTATATACGTGTGCCATCTATCGTAGGATAAATGTACTATGCCGTAGTGTATTAAAAAACTTTCCAAAGTTTCATGGCAATCGTACTATGCCAGAAACCTTCGCAGGAGTATATTAAACAACTTCCCAAAGTTTCACGGCAATCGGATAAACAGTGTGGTAATGCATGAAGGACAGACACACACACACACACACATTTTTATACAGTAGAGCATCGATTATCCAACCCCCGATTAACCGTCACATCGGTTAACCGACCATTCTAGTCTGCAAATTTCAAATGTCCGCTAGTGATATGGCATTACAATATTTGGCTATGTCTTGACTACTTTAATATTATTTTTGTTAAATTTTGCATGTTTTAGCTGGCAACACTGGCTCGCCATGAAAGGGAGGCCAGTATTTAAACGAGACTTAATTTTCTAATTATGAGTGTGTTTGTTTGTTTTGTGAGCAATAAAATAATTTTTAACGATACAATAGCAATGATTGTTATTTTAAAAAAAATGTTGTTAGGTTTTAACATGGATGAAAATTCAATGCAAAGTAGCTTAATTGCGAAATACTAATATACTAATTACATGGGATATACTAATATACTATACTAATAATGTATTTTTTTCACTCTTTTCGGTTATCCGATTTTTTCTGTTATCCGACCAACCCGAGTCCCTAATTGAGTCGGATAATCGATGCTCTACTGTATATATAGATTAGTCTAACCCAGTGATGGGCAAACTACGGCCCGCGGGCCAGATGTGGCTCCCTGAAATGTTCTATCCGGCCCGCGCGACATTATTCCTAATCTAATGAGTAAAAAAGAATACAGGCTGTGGTGGTTGATGCACCACTTAACTTGAGTGTTCGTTGATTATATAAAATAACCGAAGCTTTATATCTCACCATGAAAGTTTATTTACAATCATGTACAAAATTTTGTTTTACACTTATTGAGTAAAAGCTCAATCGGTTACAAGCATGCTTCGGTACAGAACATCCACTCGTCGTGCATAGCGTAGCCGAAAGAGAGAAAAAGAAATATGGCGGACAGCCTGCACATGTTTTTATAGTGCCACCTGGATTTTCAGATGCAGCGCTAGGTTACAATTATATTGGCCCGCCTAAAGTTTTCTTCTTTTCCTTTGGCCCGCTCTTTAAAAAGTTTGCCCATCACTGGTCTAACCAATTTCTCTTTTCCCCATATATGTTAAATAATGCTGAGGTGTCTCTAAGGCTGAGTGCACACTGAGGTGAAATGATAAATAATCTGGCAGTAAGTTGGCAGTAACATGATAGTGATATACAATTGATGAAAATCACAACTCAAAGCAAACTGGAATAACCTAACAACAATTCATTTAGTAACCACAACTGTTTCCAAAGACAAAGTCACTTTGGACTTATTGAACTTAATGATTATTATTAATTACATGAGTTATGATATGAAGGCAAATGATATTTTTGGGTGCATCCTTTTTTTGTGAGAAAATATATTTCTATTAATCCAACAAACTATATACTGAAATCTTGATTATCTTTCATGTTTGTAATGAACTAAGTTTGCTATTTGTTTTTAATCAAAATTAAAAATTAAAACAATTTTCTTTTGAACT